GGTACGGCAGGGCGGTGCTCTTCTTTTTTGCCTGGGGCGGCAAAAAAGTTAGAGCCGGCCCTGGCTACGGAGAAGACCTTAAGTGACCAGTCTCCTCTGGGGCAGCAGATTCCTACAACAGCCACATTGGTTGTCCTGTTGTGGTTATTTCAGTGGAAAGTGAAGTTGGCCAAAAAAATGGGGGGGGGAGGGGGTGAATTTGCAAATAAAAATTGAAATTTCAAAGTTGTTTCCATTTCTCAGTGTTCAAAATGGAACTAGTTTTAATTTCTTTGAAAAATACCTTAAAATAACTTTTGAAAAATTTCACATTTTTGTTTCTCCCTTTTCCCAAAATGCAACAAAGTAATGTTCATTCCCCTCTTAAGACACTATTTTTTGCTACCACATTTGGAACTTCAATGAACAGTCCATTTCAACTTTTTTTCTTTTTATTCCCTTTTCTCTGTACCCCTTCAAAAGTTCTCCCATTTTCCAAAAAGCAGCAAAAATAAAAAGCAGGTAAAAAAAACCCTAGAATTTATTCATTTTTGTGTACTCATTGGCTAAAAGGAGTGAGTAAAAAGGGAAAGAAAAGGATTTAAAAAATTGAAAATTTGAAATTTTTTCAACTTTTTAAAATCAAAATTAAAATTTCATTTTGAAATGACACAAAAATTTTTGCTTCATTTTGAAATTTCCTGTCAAAAATGAAAAATTTGTTGCAAATGATTTTTTCCCATGAAAAAAGTTGTTTTCTACTAAACCCCATTTATTTACCGGAGGGTTTTTTGGTTGAAAATTTTTTACCAGACCTAGCTGAAAGAATAAAGGAGAAACTACTGTTAAGTAAGCAAATTACACTTATATTATCTGTGAAAATATTTGGATTATTAAAGCTCTTTCTTTAAAGCTCCATTTTTCATAAACCGGAACAGTTTCTCTTTACAATGACAATAAATAAGGATTAGTCTTTCACAAAAAGGAACTTGTTGCTTACTATCAACATACTGCTTAGTCTGCGTGTCATAAGAGGAATAATGTCCCTGTGCACATTTGCTTCTCAGTAATAATGGCACCTACCAGCAGTTCCTGGCTTTTAATTTTCCCAGTCAATTTAAATGACAGAATCTCTTCTTTCTCTTTCTTCAAAATCTCCAAACGGCTCTGAATTTGGTCCTAAAAAAAGAAAAAGTGGTTTAGTTTTGGTGCTTTTGGAGGGGTTTCCCACATTTTTTATATTTTCAAGAATATTAAATACATAATAAAATAGGCGAGTGCTCTAATCACCTGGCTATACAGTCATTCTCATGCTTCTGGTCTCTCTCTCTCTGGTCCAAATGACTTTTTATCCCCAGTGGAATAGTTTTGACAGAGGAAGCCCCATATCGCAATATCCCATAGTCAGGACACTCAACACATTGGGTGGAGGAGGGACTTGAACCAGTGTTTCCTACATATCAGGTGAGTACCCTAACTCCTGGACTAAAAGTTAGAAGGGCGAGGCTGATCCGGGAGGTGTGCTCAAAGGCCACCTGCCAGGTCAGACCCCACACTCTAGGCAGGCAGCTGAACGTCTGTCTTCCTCCAGATTGTGAATCGCTCTGTGGCTTAAGTGAGAAATAGGCAGCAGTTGAGTCTGCATGCCCAGGGGCAGAAATATAGGGATGCTGATGGTGTAAAAGCTGAAAGGAGCCAGTAAGGCCCAGAAAGGAATTTTAATCAATAAAATTGTTGCAAAACCCAGCAGGTACTGTTACAGACCGTTAAGAGAACAGACTCATAACAAATTGTGATTACCCTGTTTTGGCCCAGAACCGTATTTTAAACACCCCAAAACCCCACCTTGAGGACAATATCTTACAATGAGAACTGATTTCTAGCACCCTGTTATCAACCCATTCCAGCCCAGACCCATTTTTTAAACACCAAATAGGACCTGGAACACATGGTTCCAAAGTGTCTCAGAGGATTAAATTTGTACATCCAGCATATTACCGTGAGGACAATATTTTCGGAATGAGAACCCATTAGTAGCACACTCTTATTAACCCATTCCAGCCCAGAACCAATTTTTAACACTGTCAAAAGTTGTGGAGCAGAAACAGTTAGGCCTATCTACAAATTACCAGTGAAAAATAACAGACACTAAGGTCTCACCTCCATATGAGAGTGACTCTTCCCAAAAATACACAACAAATAAAAAATAACATGAAAAACAGAAAAGCAGAATCAGTCACAATGACTTATGTGGTGAGTAGGACCTTCACTGTGCCCTGGAAGGGTTTGTGTGTCAGTTCTGCAAGGGCCCTGAAATCTCTGTAAATTTGGATCTTCCAAAAGTCACTGGTATTTTTAAGAGGTGACAATATTGAAGCCAACTACACTTCTTTCATATGCCACATACCAGCTAGGAGACTTTTACTCTTCCCCCTTCATGTGTCTTTTTTGGAGGAAAATCTGGCTGCACTAATTCATGGCAAGTGCACAACACATGTGCAAAAGATTAAAGATTAGGTTATGAAACCTCCAGGAATACTTCCAAACAAAATTGGCAACCACATAAAAGATGTATTTGTAATTTCTAGAAAAATATGTGGCCCAGGTCAGCAGCAGTTTCACTGTAATAGTTCTGTGCTATACGTATAAATTTCAGCCCTGGGCCAATTCAGAACTGACTCTTCTGAGCCCTTATTGGTGTTAAAAATGGTTCGGGGCCAGAACAGGTTAATAGTAGTGTGTTATACATCTGTTCTCATTGCTAAAATATTGTTCTTAAGGGTCTCTAACAGTATCTGCTCTTTTTTGCAATAAATTCTTTATTTCAAATGTAGTTCCGGGCCATTCCTGCTTTTACACCGTCCCGTGATTTCTTACCTTGTACTCCTCGGCAGCCTCCTCTATGGGAACCACAGTGTGTTCTCTGTGATCTCGGGACAGATGGCAAAGCAAACAAATGGGTGTTTGATCCTCTTGGCAGAAGACATCTAAAGCCCTCTGGTGTTTTTCACACACTCTCCCAACTTCTGGTTCTTTTGTTGGCTCCAGTGTAAGTTTTCTGGAAGCTTCTACAATATTCCTCAGCTTTCTGTTTGGTTTGACATTTCTCTGGGAGAAGGTTTCTCTGCACTCAGGACAGCGGAAGTTTGTATGCAATCCCTCCCAGCACCGAGTGATGCAGGCCTGGCAGAAATTGTGCCCACAATCTAGACACACTGGATCTTTAAAATAATCTGTACACACTGAACAAGTCAGTTCAGCTAGGAGCGGTTGTGCTGGATTTGCAGCAGCCATGGCTGCTTCTGCAGAGAAGAGACAAATTTAGTTTCATTTTCCTGTTCTCAGAAATGGGCTGATTCTGAACGTTGCACACCAAACAGGCACTTCCTGTGTATTCATTGTCTCATGTTACTCTTGTGAGTCCATAAACACCTTGTTGTCTCAGTTGGCAAAGAGAGGCTCTACCAGGACAGACTGTGGAGTGGCAGCACCTGACGCTGTTGGTCCCTGCAATGGTGCAGCCTGGCCACTCTGCAGAACAGCTGATTGAAAAACAGCATCTGTCACACCCACACCCAGCTCCATACAGCATTTCTTCCCCGCCATCACTGTGTGTCTGTATTGTGGGACTCCAGAGGTACCTACAGCATCGCTCATGGCACCGCTCTCTGCACCGCTCTCAGGCCACATCCGGCCCACTGGATCCTCCTGCCTGGCTCCTGAGCTCCTGGCCGGGGAGGCTACCCCCAGCCCCTCCCCCACTGTCTCCCTCCCCCGGAGCCTCAGAACGCCGCTCGGGCAGTGCTCTGGGGGGCGGGGCTGCACACTCCTGCGGGGCAGCGTGTCTGGCTCCGCGCGGCAGCCAGACACGATCTGAGTGGCGTGGTAAGGGGGTCGGGGCTGGGGGGGTTGGATCAGGGGCAGGGATTCCCTGGGGGTTGGGAGCAGGGGAGGTTAGGGAGGGGGTGGGGTCCTGGGGGGGAAGTTAGGGTGGAGTCTCTGGAGGGGACAGTCAGGGGACAAGGAGCAGGGGGCGTTGGATGGGTTGACAGAGGAAGATGGAAAACAGGTGACTGGAATAATAGGGCTGGAGTCACTGCCTGATTCTCATCAACTGTAGCATGAAAACATTTTGATATCTTGTGCCAGGGGTTTTCCATGAGGCACAGGTGGGCTTCTTAGCCTCCATCTAACTTCTGCAAAGTCCTGTGTGGCAAAGCTGTTCCAAGTGACAAAGGCCTGGTGGATCTTTGTTGCTTCCAGTGACGTATGCAATCAAGTAGTTTTCACTGTGAGGGTTTTTAACCCATTTCTCAGAAAATAACATGTCGATTCAGACCAAATTATCAGACTCCAGAGCGGTGGGATTTATTTTTGGGGGATAAATACTTTCATCTCTGCTTGTGTATGAGCCACTGTCACTTGCCAAGATAATAGAGGTATCTACCACTCTTTGGGTTATAACCTGTGAGTTGGAGTCTAATGAAGTCCAGCTGGGAGACATCGGGCCTATAACCTGAAGAGCTTTAGGGCAAGGAAGTGACCATTAGGGCCTTACTAAAGAATTTATTTTGACAATAAAAATCTTCTCTGTTATTGCTGTGTCTATATTCTCCTTTTTAAGGGAAACTTTATGAAGAATTTTTTGTCAAGGCAACTCAGGTGATTTCCTTGAGTGCTGTCAATCTGGTTGTTAGCCAGCATTTAGTACACAAACTACACTGATAAAGGGCCTTCTTCTGATTATGTGCGAAGATCAAATCAATCATGCTGACTCTTTAACATCTGTCACATGCCTTTGATACGCTGACTATGATGAATTGTACTCATAGCACCACTGGTGAGCGGCTTTGTTCTTTTTTTTCTAGGAGGATCCCATAGGTAATGGTTTGCAATTTTTTGTTTGCTCTGAGGACTTTTTCATGCAGGCTACCACAAGCGTCTATTCTTTAGGTTAAGGAGAGAGGTCTCTGAGCTGCTCTTCCAAATTTTAAAACAAATCATTCAACTTTGCACTTTGTGTTTGGAGGTTTCATTTTGAGGATCGAGTTAATATGACAAGTAACTATCATATTGCTTGGCAAGAGCTTAGGGGCATTATGATTTCATCTAACTTTATCACTGCAAATCTGAAGGCTAAAGTCCAGCCCATCCCCACTCTTGGAGAAGGGTGAATCTATAATTTAAAGGAAATTAGAAAACAGTGTTAGGAAGTCCTGTGTTCTGATTGGCCATTAGACAGTCCCTGCTCCAGCTGAGATCAGGGCCCTGTTGTGCCAGGCGCTGCACAGACACACAGCGAGAGACAGTCCCTGCCCCAGCTGAGATCAGGACCCCATTGTGTCAGGCGCTGCACAGACACACAGGGAGAGACAGTCCCTGCCCCGGCTGAGATCAGGGCCCCATTACAAAATGGCCTAAAATACAAAAATAATTTCATCCATGGGTTGGGGGTGACCCGGCTGCCTGGGGAGGCTAGCCCCCTGCCCCTCCCCTTCTATCCCTCCCTCCCTCCCTCTCTCCTTCTGCCTCCCTCCCTCTCTCCTTCTGCCTCCCTCTCTCACAGACACAGAGCCAGGGGCAAGGACCTGGTGACAGCGCCCCACCCCTGGGCGGCATGGCTGCAACGCCCCCAGCCCCGGTGCTCCAGGCAGTGAGCGCCAGGTGGTGAGGTCTGAGCACCAGCCGGGTAGCGTGGCCCCAGCACCAGCTGCCTGGAGTCCCTGGGCCAGCTAGTGCAGAGTGCTGGGAACAGCAGGAGGGGGCCTGGCCTGAGGGTGGAGCGTGGGCGGGGCCAAGCTCGGCTGTTTGGGGAGGCACAGTCTCTCCCAGCCTACAATGCCCGCTGCCCATAGTTTCATCCCACCAATTTTCAAAACCAAACAAAATCTCATTTTTTGAAATTTACCAGGTTAGAAACAGAAATTTTTCACAAAAAATCGATAATTGTTTCATTCTGCACATTATCAATATTTTGTTGCATTTTTGCAATTATTTTAATGTTTAAAAGTTGGAAAGAGTCCAGCGGAGGACAACAAAAATGATTAGGGGGCTGGAGCACATGACTTATGAGGAGAGGCTGAGGGAATTGGGATTGTTTAGTCTGCAGAAGAGAAGAATGCGGGGAGATTTGATAGCTGCTTTCAACTATCTGAAAGGGGGTTCCAAAGAGGATGGATCTAGACTGTTCTCAGTGGTACCAGATGACAGAACAAGGAGCAATGGTCTCAGGTTGCAGTGGGGGAGATTTAGGTTGGATATTAGGAAAAACTTTTTCACTAGGAGGGTGGTGAAGCACTGGAATGGGTTACCTAGGGAGGTGGTGGAATCTCCTTCCTTAGAGGTTTTTAAGGTCAGGCTTGACAAAGCCCTGGCTGGGATGATTTGGTTGCGGTTGGTCCAGCTTTGAGCAGGGAGTTGGGCTAGATGACCTCCTGAGGTCCCTTCCAACCCTGATATTCTATGATTCAAGGATCTACTGGTAGCAGAAAGATAGACAACTTGCTACAATGAACAGTAGTATTTCTGCATTAGGAACAAAGATATAGATGGATGAAACTTCTAATGGTAAGAAACAGAAAATTAATTACTAGGAGAACTAATGTTAAAATGATCTAATACGCCGGTTAAAGAAAAAGTGTCTATACATCTGGGCATAATGCTTAAATTATCCAAAAGTACAAAGTTTGATTTAAAAGTCCTAAAATACATATAGTTCATAATCTGCAATATCCCAAATTAAGGTTAATAAATTTAACAATAGTTTAGATATTAGCATCCAAATATTTGGGTACATCATTCATAAAAGGTTATACTAACAGTAGCTTGTGGAAAGCAAATATAGCAATGAGTGTAGATTGTCCCTCAGTAATTGAGAATATAGGCTAGGTTGTCCCTCAGTAAATACAATCCATCAGGGAAGTATTTCAGTTACTTTCCTGACTTCCCTTCTCAATGGCACTCCCACATCTCTCCTGGTATTGCTGATGTCCGGTGATGTGTTCTAAATAGATGTCCCTTGTCCGCCTGGTGGCGCCAGATACCTGAGTTGCTGCATCAGCGAAGCATAGAGCTGACTAATTCTACATTCCTGCAACACTCGCTCATTACTGGGATCCCCTCTAAAGCTCCGGGGAGGGACAGAAATGAAGGATTTTGAGGTTTTGACGTTTGTCTTCATTTCCACTTAGGAACAAAACGTGTACATTTCAAATTCTCAGTGAAAGAATTTAAAAAAAAATTGTTTGGCATTAATTGGAAGTGTTTCATTTCCACAAAATACGTTTATTTAGGAGAAAAACGAGGGGAAAATCTTTCAATGTCAAAACATCCCATTTTGACATTCTCAGAACGAAAGGTTTCGATGTTTTATTCTGAAATGACCATTTCGATTTTGCCTTTTTATTTTATATTGTATAATACACAATGAAGAAAAATGTCAAAACGAAAAGTCTTCTGCAAAAAATGAAACATTGAAATTTTTCATTCAGAAAAATGTCAAAAGGGAACGATTTGACATTGTTGGAAATTTTTCTCCCTGTTTTTTCTCCATAATGAAATGTCTGCCCTTCGACACTATTTTGTGTTGTGTTTCAACTTCTGCAGAAATGCTCTCTCTGATGGAACATGGTTCTGCTGCAGTTTTCCAGCCAGCTGTAGTGTAACCCTTCTGCCAGGTGGTGTCAGCAGCGACAAGGGCTGGAGTCAATATCTAGGGCTTCCTCTTCACATTAAAAAACAAAACCAGCCTGAACCCCCACCCAGTAACCTGGGAAAACTAAACACCACCCCTGGTCAATACTTCCCCACGCGTAAGCACTGAGTCTGTGTTTAACGAAAGAAAACATTCATTAAAAAGAAGAGGGAGCTCAGCGTTAATTTGTGAAGAAACCGCAACAATGATTCAAAAGTTTGCAAATCGTAAGTAAACACCTGCCCCACAGTCGGTTGGGCAGTGCCCTCTGCCTCAGTTTCCCACTTTGCAGTGTGACAGGCTGACAGACAAATGTCCCTTTAACGCACCATTCCCCTTTCCTTCTGCTGCAAACCACTCACAATTGGTTGTCCAAAATCAGCAAAGTCCCAAAATAAAGGGGTGTGTTCCTGTGGGTTCCCGAGCTCATTTTGTTACTGTTTTGATGAATCTATTTATAGAATAAACCATCAGTTAATGGGGTGTATCTGCCCTGTCCTGAATTGGGCATTCTCAGTGGTGATTCATACCAGGCGACAGTCACACCAGTAACAATTCTACTGTCAGCAAATTTAATAATATGAACATACACCATCCAAATATGCATTTATCCACATTTTAGGAAGACCACTTTGGGAGGAAAGTCAGATACAATACATTGATTACAGTAAAATCAGGGAGATTTCTAAAAGAAAAATGAGTTACATGAAGAACAAATATGGTAATTTTTATACGCAGTTTGCACCTCATGAATACAACTCTGATGCGACAGATGCTGGACATTTTAGTTTGAACTCAGTGCATCTCAAGGGGGTTTTCCATATGATCCGTTCATTTTTATTTCATATTCCTGGTATTGCCAGAGTAATTCCCACCCTGACAGATTATTTACTTGACGGTGTCATTGGGTGGAAGAGAGGATCTAGCAGGAAATGTCCTGCATGATGGAATTCAGCATCATTCATATATTTGTCATCAATCCTACATTTCTCATCTGTTTTTGCCTTGACATCCTATATTGGGCAGCGGACACAAGGGAACTGATTGGGCTTTCAGGTCTCTTTTCATTTTAAATTACTTTTGGTAAAATTCATA